CAAAGTTGATTTCATTTGCCCGAAGAATCTGATCAAGTTCAAGCATTGCCCTATTTAAACAAGCATTTTAAGTAAATAAGAATATTGAGACAAACTAAAATGTCCATGAAATTGAACCATCTATGCTAAGATACCAGGCTGCTTACTTACGTCTCAATGTCCAGTTTTAGCTTCTGAACCTGCAAAATGACACAAATAACCAAATATCATGTGACTACAATTATAGGCAGCAAGTGTGTAACAAACCAGAAAATATTACCTGGATGAGCTTTGTGCAAACAAGCTCTCCACCAAGGAGATTCTGAATGGGATGTGTAAGTTCATACCTGCTCTAGTAATTCCCAAAAACTTATGTTCCTTTGAATCTCAGAAATTCAGCTGAAAAATTCACGTACTACTATTTCACCTTACAGCAGTGCTCAAAATATCAAGCAAAAAGAGAAACAATTAATTCTGGATTATTTTAATTGTATTTACATGAAAAATTGCTAAACATTTTACAAGCTGAATAAAGTTTCAAGGAGTATTTACAAGCTGAATAAACATTTTACACCTCATAGTTTGTAATCTACTAAGGCTTAATTAAATAAGCAACAAATACAAATGATCTAATTAAATCAATAACAGATGCTAATTATCTAATTAGATAAACAACATATACTAATTATCTAACGTTTGAAAGTCTACTAAATACACATGATAATCTTAGTGGTTCAATAGTCATCTTGGATTTCATCCACTTCCATCATTGGACTCTCAGATGGGTTTTCTGGTTCAATAGATAGCTCTTCAATCTGTTTTCTTGTGGATTCAATATAGATGTTCTTATCCTCATCTTCTTTCAAAATGAAACTAACATCCTCGTTGTTCTCTTCTGCAATAATTTCTTCCCATTCCCACTCCTCATTTTTCTCTTCTGCAACAATTTCTTCCCATTCCCACTCCTCATTGTTCTCTTCTGCAATAATTTCTTCCCATTCCCACTCATTATCCACAGGAGTGCTCATATTTTTCTTAA